ATGAAACTTATAGAGTAAAAAATTAAGAAGAAATGGGTATAAGATGAGATAGTCAAAAATAATATTGATAACACAGCAAAAAGAAGAAAAAAACAAAGGAAGCCACATATAGGTGGAGGGAAGTCAAAATTTATGTCTGTATGTTTAATTTGTATGTTTGTTTTCCTTTTTTGTAATCTAAGTTGAGAGATGTATGTATCTATGTATAATAACTTTGTTTAGTGTTCTGGTTTGTGTTTGTAAGAATTGCATTTATTAATAACATTTTTTTTTAAAAAAAAGTTTAAATACCCTCCATTAATTTGTCTAGTCCTCCTTTAAAGAGGTGAAGTCCCAGAGAGGAGGGACTAGGTGCCCCAGGGTTGCAACTGTCTCTTCCTTCTGCCCTCCTGCCAGGAAGGGGAAGGCTGCAGCAGTGATTGCATCCCTTCCCAGAAGCTGCAAGGCTCAGTCCCCCCCCTCTTGCGGAAGCAGCCCATAGAGGGTCAGGCCAGGCCAGGCCAGGGCAACCCCCACACTGCCCTTTGCTCCAGTGCCAGCTGCGGAAATCTTGCCAGAGGGCACAGGAAGGGGGATTTCCAATGTGTCCTTGTTCCTTTATTTGGGAAGAAAGGCGGTAATATTTATTCAGGCAGGGATCATGTTAACCCGTGTACTTCTGAGAAGGAGCTGGTGGACAAACATGCCCCCCCCCTCTGCCCGCAAGTCACAATGTGCCAGACCACAGGGGATGTTTTCCTCGCTGAAGCAATTCAGATTACAACAGACCTGAAGCAGGTTCTGGCCCAGGTCCAGCCAGGCTGGATGCAGATGTGTTTATCTTGTGTTTGAAAGACCTCACTCTGTCTGGCGGGTGGGATTTGTCCCAGGCCCCTCTCCTCCTCTCTCTTGTTCTCTTGGCATCATGTTCTGGGTAGGATGGGGGATGCACTGACAGCCAAAACGAGGAAGGGCTTTGGCTTGGTGACAGAGCATCTCTGCCTGCTATGCAGAAGGTCTCAGGTTCAGGTCAGGCTGCAAGGAATCTCAGCCTTGAGACCTGCAGAGCCACTGCCAGGAAGTGCTGGCAGTCCTGGGCTCCACAGATCAGTGGCCTGCCGGTGACATCTTCCTATGGATGCTCGGAAGACAGCTGGCAGCAACACAGGGGATTCTTGCACAAGAGTGGAAGGGAGAAGCCCAGGATGAAGCAAGTGGTTCTTCTTTCTGAGCAGCAGGGTGTGGGGCAATGCAAGTCTGGGGCGGAGAACAAGGTGAGTAAGCAAGCTGTCTGTGTCCAGTATAAACAGCAGCCAGTCATCCGTCTGTAAAGTGCAAAACCACAAAATGTCAATGGAAGTGAACCATCCTCTTTGCTCCAACCTGACCTGCAAGAACCTGATTTGCGTGAGCTTAACGCCCTCCCTTCAGATGTGAGGGAATAAGCAGCTGTCTTCTTTTTGGAAGACATCTGAAGGCAGCCCTGTTTAGGGAAGCTTTTAATATTTAATGCTGTATTGTTTTTAACACTCAATTGGAAGCCGCCCAGAATGGCTGGGGAAACTCAGCCAGATGGGCAGGGTATAAATAATAAATTATTATTATTATTATTATTATTATTATTATTATTATTATTAGAGATCCAAGCTCTGCCAGGAGCTCCTCTGAAATGCAGGAAAGGAGAGGTCGGAAGGCAGCGCAAATTGCTCACAGAGGGTCAACCCCCCCCCCAGCAATGAACAGGATTGACTTCTTCCCCATTTTTGCATCTGGCTATATGGAAAGCTGCCCCTCACCTTGGCTACAGTGGAAAAGGCTCTGTGTGTTGGTGTGTCACAGATGTGCTGTAGCCAAACCAACCAGCCTCCATGATCGGTGGCATCATCTCCCGCCAACAAAGTCCTGCAAGCCAGGTTTCTTGCTGCCGCCGTTTTGCCACAGATCTCAGTGAAATCAGCCTGGTCAATACACACAGGAGTGTCAAGATTGGCACCACCCCTTGTCCTCTGTGGTTAGGAGGGTTCAGGAAGGAGCAGGGCTTGGAGTGGGTTTGAAGCCCAGGTTTGCAGCAATCCTGATAACCACCTCCATTCAAGTAGTCTTCAGCTGGTGGGTGTGTGGGTGTCTGAGGGGGGGGGGCAAATGAGTGAGGCATCCTGCTAGCTCACAAGAAGACCAGAGGTCCTCTCCCAGCCTCACCTACCTGGCGATTGAACTCAGGGCAGTGGCTCAAACTTCCAGGTTTCCATGGGAAACAATGGGGGCCCTGAAGGAACTCATTCTCCGCACTCTGCAGCAGCTGAAGCCCCCCCCCCCTCCTGCCAGGCAGCCACCTGAGCTTCCTAGGCTGGAGCTCTGCACTTCCAAACTGGGTTGCTACTGGTGTTAGGTAACTGTCAAATTATTCTGCAAAATGGCCACATACAGCATACTATTAGAATGGGAGACGAAAGATGAAGAGGTAAAATCAGTTATGAGTAAATGGGCACAAGATGTAGGTCACAACATTATGATGGAAGATTGGGAAAAATTATGGAAAACTGATTTAAAATTTACAGATTGTTCCCTATTGAAGGAGAATTACATGAAGATGATGTACATGACACCAGTGCAGCTAGGGAAAATGTACAAAACTTGTTCAAATATATGTTGGAAGTGTAAGGAAAACGAAGGGACATTTTATCATATGTGGTGGGATTGTAATGTAATTTTAAAAAATTGGGAAATGATATACAACAAATTGAAGAAAATGTTCCATTTAACATTTGTTAAAAAACCTGAAGCATTTTTGTTAGGGATTGTAGGGTAAGACCTGCCAAAAAAGCTGAAAAACATCTTCTTGTATGTGACAACAGCCATGAGAGTTTTAATAGCACAAGGATGGAAGACTGAAGAAACCCCAACTAAAGAATCATGGCAAGAAAATTGATGGACTATGCAGAACTGGCAAAATTGACATATGGGACAAGGATAACTGTGACTTTAAGGATGAGTGGGTACCCTTTACAAAGTATTTGAAGACGCAACAAAGTGAACTGGACTCCTTGGCTGGCTTTGAATAAGCATTCACAAACCTTTTATTGATAATAATCAGCTAAATAGTTTGAGGATCTATACAACTTTGTAACATGCAGAAAACCGCATTCTCAGAGAAATCAAAGACTGGAACTGAGGGAAGCTGGGGGGTGGGGGGTTGTGAGGTGGGGAGGAAAAATGGGGGGGGGGGAAATAAGGATGATATGTTTCTGGATAATATGTTTTGTTTTAATTTTGAATAAAAAATAATGAAAAAAATTCTTCTGAAATTCCAAACTGCCCTGATTTGGACGCTTCTGAAAGCCTTTCTTCCCACTTGTGTATTGTGGTCCTTGACATTGAGAAGGAGGTTTGGATCTATAACTGGATGCCCTTTGGAATCCAGATGGTGCACTGACCCATTCCAAACTGCACTGATTTAAAGCAAGTTTGAGAGGGAACTAACAGGGCTGTGGGCCGCATTAAACTGAGGTTCAGATTCTGAACCGAATACAAGTTGCCAGAAAGCGCAGGAGGTGAGACTGCTCCTCTTGGACTCAGGACCCATAGTGGGCATCTGGTTGGCCCCGGGGAGGACAGGATGAGGCCTCCTTTGGGCCTGATCCACCTTCAGGGCTGTCATGTTTGCTCCCAGTCCCTCCTCTCCTCCCTGTCGAAAGCGAAAGTTGGCAGGCACCTGGGCACAAGCTCAAGGTGAGGGCAGGCATACAGCTTGTGCAGAACTTGGATTAAGGATTGTTACTGAAAAATAACTGTTATATAACAAATTGCAAATTGTGGAAAAATAAATGTTACACAACAAAATATACAGGAAGTGCAAATGCTGGAGCCAGGTCAAGCCTACCGCAGGAGGTCACAGGGATCCTTCTCAACAAAATCCTGGCCCTTCCCAGGTCCATCTGGTATGCAGGATGAGACCCTCTCTGCCTGCAGACTATCTCGCCAGAGTGGTGCATGCTCTGGTTATCTCCCTCTTGGACTACTGCAATGTGCTCTCCGTGGGGCTACCTTTGAAGGTGACTCGGAAACTACAACTAATCCAGAATAGGGCAGCTAGACTGGGGACTGGGAGCGGCCGCCGAGACCACATAACACCGGTCCTGAGAGATCTGCACTGGCTCCCAGTACGTTTCTGAGCACAATTCAAAGTGTTGGTGTTGATCTTTTAAGCTCTAAATGACCTTGGCCCAGTATACCTGAAGCAGCGTCTCCCATCAGATGTCAAGGAAATAAACAACTATCCGACTTTTAGAAGACATCTGAAGGCAGCCCTGTTTAGGGAAGCTTTTAATGTTTGAATGTTTGATAGTCTGTTTGGAGCTGCCCAGAGTGGTTGGGGAAACCCAGCCACTCTGGAGCGGCTCCCAACAAAATATTTAAAAAACCACAATTCCTGAACAACGTGGTCCAGGGTCCCTGAGCCCTTCTGTTCCAGCTCACCCCCTGAGATCATCTGCCGTAGCATCACTGGTCATTCCACAAGTTCACCAGACTTAGCTGATGGAAGTATAAACTGAGCCTTTGGTGTCATCAACCAAGTCCTATGGAACTCTCTGCCACTAGAGATTCAGCAGACGCCTTCTGTGCCAAATTTTAAATGCTTGCTGAAACCTCTTCTATTCCGCCAGGCCTAGGCAGGCAGTTAAATAACACAACCCCCACAACGGTCAACTGAATATTGTTTCTATTTTTTTAAAAGGTGTTTTCAACTTTTTATGATTTTACTGTCTGGCTTTATATTGTCGTCAACTGTTGTGGTGTATTTCTATGGTACAGCAGTATACGAATATATATACCTATAAAGAAATAAGCAAATAAAAAGATAACGGTGCCTGTTGGCAGGTGGTCGAACATCTTTCCTGGCGGGGGGGGGGGAGATGCCCGGGGTGCCTCTGCCAGCCCCTCCGCCCTCTTGGCACCGGTCTCCGCGCCGCGCCCACCCGACTTGCGCAATTGCCCGCCGCCCGCCCGGGCGCTATAAGAGGGCGGCCGCCGGCTCGACGGGGACATTCCCTTCCCGGCATCGAGGATGGCGCAGCGCACGGTCTCTCTGGGCGGCATGGCAGGCTTGGCGCTCCTGGGCGCCCTTCTCTCCCTCTTGCCAGCCTGTTCGCTGGCGCTGGACGTCCAGAGGAAAAGCCAGGCTCCGGCCAAGGTAGGGCCAGGCGGAGGCGAGGCGAGGCGAGGGGGACGGGGCGGGCAGGCCGGGGCCGGGCAAGTGGCGCCGGCTGCAGTCGGAGAGACCTCCGCATCTGGGCAGAGGGGCTTTGGTGGTCTCCGCCTCGCTCTCCCCTCTGCGAAAGGGACCTGCGGCAGCGCCTCACCGGAGGGGCGGAAAACGAAGCCCCCGTCAGGGCGCGAAGGGAGCGGAGACGTCGGGGAGCCTCCCGGCGCGCTTGTGGGGCAGGGCGGGCTGCTGGCGGCTTCCTTTCCTCTGGTTTAAGGCTCCTTCTTTCGCAGGGTCTTAATTTCTGACCTGCAGCTGCGACAGGCGCCTTGCAGGGGGTTGCTTCGGATTGCTTTGCGGGGCGGGGAGCTGGAGCAGGCGCGATATTCACGGGGCGCAAGGTGCCCCCTGGGGTCTCCGCGCCCGCTTGCGTGCGGCCGAGGGGTCCCTCTCTGATATGCTGGGGAGTCGCCTTTGGGGTTGGACTTGATGACCCTCTGGGGTCCCTTCCCCCTTTCTCTGACCCGCTCCTCTCCGCAGTGCAACCTGGCGGGGACGTGGGTGAACGATCTGGGCTCCAAGATGGTCATCGGGACCACCAACGAGGACGGCCAGTTCTCGGGCTCCTACCTGACCGCCGTCTCGGCTGCCACCGACGCCGCCATCCGGGAGTCGCCTCTGCACGGCAGGCAGCACCACACCAACCGGCGCGCCCAGCCCACCTTCGGCATGACCGTCATCTGGTCCTTCTCCGGTAGGCAGGGGCGGGAGGCACGAGCCCCGCGGGGATAGAGAGGGGTCCGAGCAGCTCCGTGGACGGAGAAGGGAAGGGCCCCAGTCGCTCTTCCCGGTCATGCGGTGGCTTCTGGGGCTGGGCAATCCCCCCCCCCCACGCCGCCCCTGAAGACCCTCGGCGCCAGCCCACCGACCTCCCTCTCTCTGTCCCCTCGCAGACTCCACCACCGTCTTCGTGGGGCAGTGCTTCGTGGACGAGAAGGGCGAGGAGACCCTGGAGACGACGTGGCTGCTGCGGGAGGAGGTGGCGACGCACGCCGACGACTGGAAGGCCAACCGGTAAGCGGCCCGACTGGGGAGGGGGTCCCCCCCTAGCCATTAAAACAGGCAGGCGAGACCCTCAAGGGGCGGAGGGGCGCCGTCGGGGCTGAGCATCAGTTCCCTCCCTTTCAGGATCAGGAGGAGAAGCAGCTCTTCCCAGGAAGGCTCCCGCTCTCCGCTACGCTTCCAAGCAGATCTCGGGGGCCATTCAGCTCCCTCCGCCCCCGAGAAGCGGGGGGGGGGGGCAAAAACCCCAGCTCGACTCCCATCGGTCTCCCTCCCAAAGAGGGTATCCCCACATTCCCCAAAACGCAATCCTGCCAGAGGCGTCCAGGAACTCGCTTGACTTAGCCCAGTCCGCGAGAGCTCGGCGCTGAATTAGGCTCCGTCTCAAATCCTCTTTGCTATCGGCCGAAGATTGCCTTCAGCCTCTAACTAGGTAACTGCAGCCCATGACGCTCTCAGAATACGCTGCTTGCTTCCGAAGAATTCAATCTTAAATTTGCCCAAACTGGAGCGCGGGAGCCCTGCTTGCCTCACCTCTAACGCGCATCCACGACTGGTCTTAATTTTATTTTAACCTAGGGGGGAAAAGAATACAACTGCTTACTAACCTTAGGTGATGTACGCCTCCTCCCCAAGCAAGCAAGCAAGCAAGCAAGCAAGCAAGCAGCTAGACTAGCCGGACAGAACCTCAACCGAACGAGGCGTCTGACTAGCCTTCCCGCAACGAAAATGCTTTCAGCTGCCCGCCCCCCCTTAGTAGGGAAGGCATTGGGAAGCCCAGCGATGCCGCGAGAGCACTTGGGGAGGGAACGCCATGCAAAATGGTCCCGGAGGCCTGTGGGGGGCGGGCCAGTCCTCTTGAGAAACCCTGTCCCAAGATGCGCAGAGCTTAGCAAATTCTTGGCCAAGCCCAGGGACGGCATTTCCTGGACCAGCCGCAAAGGGGTGCCTCGCCTCACGCGGGGCTTAGGAGCAAGATCCTGCAGGACGGCGACCAAGGCATCTCGCCCCAAGAGCAAAAACAGCCCCCACCGCACCCGCAGAAGCCAGCAAAAGGTTCTCCGAGGCCACTTCACAAAGGGGGCTCCAGGAGCCCCGTCAGCGGGGAGGACAGCCCCATCCAGGCCTTGGCTATGGAAACTCCTCACCCAGAGAGCTTCCTCTATCCTGGGGGGGGGGATTCCAGCTGTTTCTATTACCCCCCCCCCGCAGGTCTTGGGGCGAGTGTCCTCTGCATCCTGATGGCACCACAGCCCAGAAGGTGGTCCTGCCAACCGCTTGGCTCGTCCCTCACAGAGCGGGAGCTCTTTCTGTGGTTTAGGGTTAGCCTAAGAGTTGCTGTCAGGGCAGAGAAGGGCTTTTGTGCCCTTGACAGCTGTGTGGCAGGCAGGAATCCAACAGGTTACTCCTTTTTACTATAGAAAAACACCAGGAAAGATTCACCTTTTGTTATCTGTCAGGGAACTTGGTCCGTGAGTCAACAGCCCCTCAACTCCTCACTCCCGCCATGGGCCAGAGGAGCCCCCAGGTTGAAACTCCGGCTGCAGAGAACCCCCCCCATCAGCCAGTGGAGCCAACTCCAGGGGGCCGTGACACTAATGCATTTGTGGGTCTGGGCCCCCACAAAGTCAATGGGCAAAGTTGAAGCCCTTCCTTGCAGGCCCCCACAAGACCTAGGACTGGAGCAGATAGGGACTGGCCTTCTCCCCACTGCCTGGCTCAGCACCCCCTGGGGGCAGGCCTACAAGTGAAGCAGGGCTGCTGCAAGCATCTCCCTCTGACTGGCTTGTGGGGAGGGGCACTTACCCAACAGCAGGGCAGGGCCCTCACTGCCTGGGGTGAATAAATGGGGGCTGGCAGCTCTATGCCCCAGTCCATGCTTGCTTGCAAGGGGGCTGCCCCAGATGCCATGGCTCGGCTCCTGGCCCATTCTGGTGCCACTGCTGAGGGCGCACGTGGAGGAAGAGGGCAAGGCTGGCAGCTCAAGGGGCCGTGGGCACTGGAAGGCTCATCCACGGACACTGAAGCCAGTCCTGGCCCCTGACCCACAAGGCATCAAAATCAGGGAAGGGCATTCGCTGGGCAATTCTCCTCAGCCTCTCTCTCTCTTTCCTTGAAGGGTTGGCAAGAACGTCTTTGTACGTGTCAAATAACAAGGAACCAGGATCCGGGCCTGCTTCTGCTACTCATGCGTAGGACCAGCTAGAAGATGGCTCCCCCTCCCTCTGCACTCCACCAGCACTGCCCCTCTGGCCTCTTCTATGGGGAAGGACAAAAATCCCCCCTCAGGGGTTGCGTGTGCGTGCGTATATGTTGTGTGTCTCGCTTTTGGTCACCCCCCCACCAGCCTGCAGCCCCCCCTCCCGGTTTGGCCAAGGGTGGCTCAAGAAGGGCTCACCATTGCACTCGCTACAGCAGGGGTCAGCAACCTAAGGCCTATGGGCCACAAGCGGCCCAGGGGGGTTGTTTAACCAGCCCACGAGCCGCCCCCAAATTGAGCCGCCTGCTTGGCGAGTCCCCGCGCGCTGTGCTAAACCAACACAGTGCGAGGACTCACTTCTGTGGCACCGGAAATGGTGTCTGCGCAGACTCACGACACTGTGGGCGTGCCTGCGCTCTGACCCACGGAGGTTTCTCTGCTGGAGTGAAGCAGCCCAGGCGAGGAAAACCTTGCCGACCCCTGCGCTAGAGAGTGCACTTGGTGGGGGAAACGTCTGGTGCACCGGTTGCCAATAGTTTGTTCACTGTGCTTGCTCGGGGCTTTTTATTGGCCTCTCTGTATTCTTAAACTTTCTTTTAAATTCTCTTGTCTCATGGGCTGATGAGCAAAAAACCAATAAAGAAACTTTTCCACCATTGTCAAAGAGAAATCACTCTCAAGGCTAGCCTACTATTTGCGCATTGGCATCCCAGAGGGGAGCCAGACCCCACCCCACGACCCCCCTGGAGAAGGCCGAGAGGCAGGCACTCCCTGGAAAGACAGAGGATCACTGGGGGGGGGAGCAGGACGCTGATGCAGCCCCATCCCCGCATTTAGGGAGCTATGCTGGGCCACAGACCCAACAGGCCAGCCAAGCCCCAGGAATGGCCAGGGGAGGGGGGGGGGTCAGCCCCACCCCCTAAAAGCACACCTGGAACAACAGACACCCGCCCACAAAAATACACAGAGAGCCCCACCCTCGCCAACAACTGTTTATTTTAAATTAAAATTATTCTGCATCTAAAAATAACTCTGGGGCAGCCCCCAGATTGTACAGAGCTTGATTGTGTGCAAATCAATCGTAGGAGAGAAAAGGGGGGGGGAGCAGGTGGTGAAGGGCCCCTTCCTCCACCCCCCCCTTGAAAAGGGAGCACCGCTCCTCTTGTGAACTGGGGGGGGGGGCGGGGGCGGGCAGGGACACCTGCCACTGACCCCAAGAGGAAAGGGCCGTCAGAAAGGGGGGGGGCAGAGAAAGATCCTTCATACACACCGTGCAGCAACAAGACCCCCCCCCCCCCGCCGGGGAGCAGCTCAGCCATGCAGGCCCCCCCACATGCTGAAGGACACTAGGGGGGCCTTGCCCAACAGGGAGGTGGCAGCAGCCCCACCCACAGGCCCCTCCTTCCTGGCTGGCCAGTTGTGGGACCCCCATACCCGCTTCATGGGCTCACGGCGATGGGGGGGTCAGAGGCCTCTGAGGAAGCGGGGGGCGCCCGGGTCTCCCCTGCCGCCCTGCGCTCCAGGGCCAGCTGCATGCTCCAGATGCTGAGGGGGCGCATGTAGGCCAGCGAGCGATAGACCCTCCTCTGGCAATAGGCCTCGGGCGTCTGGAAGGCCATGCCCAGCCTCTCCCACACCGTCCGGTAGCAGCCCTCGGCCGTGCGGAAGCCCTCCTGGACCAGCCCCTGGAGGAGGAGGAAGAAGAGGAGAGGGGGGTGAGAGCCAGCCCCCAGCCTGCCGCTCTTGCCCGCCCATCCCAGTGCCCACCCCCCGCTCACCTCCTGGATCATGGTGGCGGCCAGGGCATACACCACGCCAACCCAAACCTCGTCCGACTGGACGCTGGAGCGGTCAGGGACCCCGCTAGGACGCATGCCGTTGACGGCGCCCATCGTCCCCTGGGAGAAGCCCATGACGTTCCGCTCGAAGATGGTCTTCAGGGCGCTCAGCACGTGGCTCTGGGGGAAGACCTGCAGGGAGGGAGAGCAGCGGGGGACCCCCAAGGGCCATCTAGTCCAGCCCGCCCGGCAATGCGGGAGGGTGGGCAGGACTCTGGCCTCCTGACACCCAGGGGACCCTGGCCCCTCGCTTTGCTTCTATTCTGCATTTTGTCTTTTGACTGTCTGTTTTTATGCTGCGAACTGCCCCGATATCTTCAGATGAAGGGCGGCATACAAATCTGAATACTGTATTTTTCTGTGTGTTAGATGAGGCTTTTGACTCAAAAATCATGTCAAAAAACTGGGGCCGTGCTGCTGCAGGCGGAAAATGATCTAGGAAGTGTTTCCCACCCGCAGTGGCAAGGGGGTAGAAGCTCAACAATCTGGGGGCATCTCCCCTCACTTTCTTAAAACTGAGTCCCCCAAAATAGGGGGTGGCTTATACATGAGGGCGTCTTATAGACGTGAAAAAACGGTAAATAATATTAATAATTATAGTTACAGATAGGTAGCCGTGTTGGTCTGCCATAGTCAAAACAAAAAAAATTCCTTCCAGTAGCACCTTAAAGACCAACTAAGTTAGTTCTTGGTATGAGCTTTCGTGTGCATGCACACCACGGGGAGCCCTCCTGGCTGGGAAACCGGGGCCCACGCTGGGGCCACCACCAGATACACAGATGTGTATCTGAAGAAGTGTGCATGCACACGAAAGCTCATACCAAGAACTAACTTAGTTGGTCTTTAAGGTGCTACTGGAAGGAATTTTTTTTGTATTAATAATTATAGTTATTGTTCATATGTTGTTCATCTGTCTGGGTTGCCCCAACAAGGTATTAAAATCACAAGCCCTGACCAACGGAGGTCCAGGGTCCCTGAGCCTTTCTGTCCCAGCTCAGCCACTGAGATCATCTGCCGTAGCATCACTGGTCAATTGAATTTGCAAGACTCAGCTGATGGCAGTATAAAACAGCCTTTAGTGCAGGGGTCAGCAAATGTTTTCAGCACTGGGCTGGTCCACTGTCCCTCAGGCCTTGTGGGAAGCCAGACTATATCTTGATAAAAAATATGAACGAATTCCTATGCCCCACAAATAACCCAGAGATGCATTTCAAATAAAAGAACACATTCTACTCATGTAAAAACATGCTGATTCCCAGATCTTCTGCAGACCGGATTGAGAAGGCGATTGGGCCGGATCCGGTCCCTGGGCCTTACTTTGCCTACCCATGCTTTAGGGTCCTCAACCAAGTCCTGTGGAACTCTCTGCCACTGGAGATTCAGCAGGCGCTTTCCCTGCACAGGGCTGCTTTCGGGTGTCTTTTGAAAGTGATCTGATGTGAGCCTCCAAGAGGGGTGCCTGACGCCCCACCAGCCCCTGGGAAAAGGAGGGGAGTCCCTCCACAGGCTGACCCTCCACTGCCATGGAAGCTGACCAAGGATGACTCCCTGCGTCCTGGTGGGACCCTCGCGACTGCGGACGAGCCCCCTCCCCCTCTGGGGACCCTCCTTGCCCTCCTCACCTCAGACTTGCCCTCTCCCAGGCCGCAAGCACGGAGGAACCACTGCCCAGCCAGCTGGTCAGACATGATGCTGTCCGAGGAGGTGCTGTTGCTGCTGTCGTAGTTATAGTACTTCCCTGGAGGAGAGGACGAGGGAGGGTGATCCCGGGCGGGAGAGAGACGCCTGCAGACATCCCAGAGTCCCCCCCCCCCCGGAGAAGGCAGGCAGGCAGCCGCCTTTGCCCCCACGCACCGTTCCAGAGCAGCTTCTCGAAGGCCGCTGTGCCCTTCGCCAGGATGGCAGAGTACGTCTGCCGGGCATCTTCCTCGCCCAGGAGCTGCGCCATCTGGCACATCATGCTGAGAGCCGCCAGCCACAGGCTTCCGCAGTAGGAGCTGCCAAAGCAGAGGAGGAGGAGGTTGGCGGGAGCCGGCCCTGGCACACGGGCACCGCGGGGAGCCCTCCTGGCTGGGAAACCGGGGCCCACGCTGGGGCCACCACCAGAAGGGGGCTGGAGGGCAGAGCAGCTCTGGGGCTTTGGGGTCCTCAGACCGGTGGGCTGCAGCTGAGGAGGGACTCACTGCTCTGGACTCTTGCTGTGTCTAGCCAGAGGGGGGCGCTGCTGGCTATTTGCAGATGAGTTGCTGTGGGGCCACATGCCAGCCATGCCCTGGGCTGGCATGAGTAGAGATAAGTTCATGTTAGCCCAGATTCATTGTGGAGGTCTTAGTTTCAATCATTGAGCGGAAGTCAGAAGTCAATTATGGATTAGAAACCAGGACGGGGCCCTGTTTCAATGTATTCACCTTCATCAGCTAATTTTTAAAGGGTCGTGTAAGTTTGAAGACTGCAAGAAGATCAAACCTCTCCATTCTGAAGGAAATCAGCCCTGAATGCTCACTGGAAGGACAGATCCTGAAGCTGAGGCTCCAAGACTTTGGCCACCTCATGAGAAGAGAAGACTCCCTGGAAAAGACCCTGATGTTGGGAAAGATGGAGGGCGCAAGGAGAAGGGGACGACAGAGGACGAGATAGTGGGACGGTGTTCTCGAAGCTACAAACATGAGTCTGACCAAACTGCGGGAGGCAGTGGAAGACAGGAGGGCCTGGTGTGCTCTGGTCCAGGGGGACACGAAGAGTCAGACACAACTAAACAACAACAAAATGAATGAACTGACTAGAGAATGAACTGATCCACTGGGTCTTCTGCTTTTTTCATTGAACTTTATGAGACTTCCGTGGAAATCTACAATTTGATACAATGAATAGTATACCTTATTTATTCAAAAGTACAGCTGGTTATGTCTTGTGTGTTTATTGAGTATGCTTCACGTAGCCATAGGTTTGTTGTTCTTGTGTTGCCCTCTCAGCCTTGGCAGCTGTTTTGGCAGAGGGAGCCCCTCCCCCTTCGAAGCGCAGATCCTCCCCACCAGATGCCTGCCTTGGCCTGCCCAAAATGTGACCGCTTTGCCGCCGCAACCACCTGGGGGTGTTGAGCCCAGCTCAGCACTTGGCCAGGGCAGCCCTCCTCAAAGAATCCCGGTTGGAAAGGGCCCCCCGAGGGTCATCCAACCCAACCCTCCCGCCTGCTCACCTGGCGCCCGTCACCACCCAGGCGTCGTAGGTCTGGTCGGCAAAGCCAGAGTTCTCGATGAGGCCGTCGCCGTCCTTGTCAAACTTCAGCTCAGACTCCATCACGGCCTGCAGGGAGCAGAAGGGAGGAGGTGGGGGGCGTTTGGGGGCTGCCCCCCTGCTGCGGCCCGCCCCAGCCTTGCCCTGAACCCCCAGCCCGCCTCCTGGCATTACCTGGCAGACGGGCCACATGTCCCGCAGGTAGGCAGAGTCCTTCGTGAGGTAGTAGTCCCGATACACCTGCAGCACAAACTTCAGGTTCAGGTCCTTCCAGGCGGCCGTGTCGTGGATCAGGTAGGCGTTGAGGTGCTGCCAGGGCTCGTCATCTGGGGGGGGGGAGAAGAGGGGGGAGAGTGAGGCCCAAGGGGGTGCCCCTGCCCGTTGCCCCACCCCTGTACCCTTGGGAGTCTGCACCCGGGGCACGATCTGGGCATGCGCCTGAGAACGGCCAAGCAGAAAGAGGGCTGGCGAGGGAGGAGGAGGACCAGGGTGGATAAAAAACCAATGTTGTTGTTTTTTTTAAAAAAATCAGATTTTTAAAATTTAAATCAGATTTTTAAAATAAAATGCTTTTGGAGGAAAAATC